TTTAGCAATATTTACATCGACATGACCCGCCCTTCTCTGCCTCCGATTGGCTCATTCCTCGTCATGCCTAAAGTTAACCAATCCAATCAGTAAAGGCAGCGAGTATTGGCCAATTAGAGGCAGAGTAGCGTGGGTCATGGCTTCACCATCCTAGGGAAAAAATGGGCAATTTGGCTCGCAGATACTACTGAATGGTGGCATCAGGGGGGGTTTAGAAATGGGTATACGCAATGCTGACTGAAAAATAAGCGGGTATACCCGCGTATACCCTGGACTACTAATGTAATGGTTTAAGCCAATTGTTAGTTTGGTTAAGGAACAGCTCATAGCAGGGTAAAATATTAAAGGTGCATTGCACTTATTTTGTGTTGATATTAAAATCATTCAGCTTTAAATTGGTTATATATTTTAATGATTTGTTACCCAACTACATTGTGTTTGAGCTGGTTTTGTTTATTAAATTGTACATGATAAATACATCCAATTAAACTTCCTGTTTATAATCTAAAATATTAAATGATGTATGGAATAGTTAAAAACAATGTTGCATATAGAAAGTGATGATAAATCATTTATTAGTTGATGATAGAATACCAATTGTTGAGGTATATAGAAATTCATTATTGAGATTTGTTGGTGCTTAAAGTACCAGTTGCTATAACATTTGGTAGTTCATTCCATTGTAGTCATTAGTCATTGGTTATTACTAAGCTAACTAAGAAAATTAGGTATTGAGGTTTCATGTTAGAAATAAGAACAGAACAGAGTAACTTAATACTCGGCACTATTTGTGCAGGTTGGTTTATTGAGCTACCAGAAAGAATCTAGAGGATCCAATGATGGCGAGCCCAGCCCAGAGTGACTGTGGAAGGTCGGGGACGCGGTGAAGACATCGGACTAGTTTGCACATTCAGGAACAGATAAGACTGCCTACTTACTATTAACTCTACCCGGGTAGTAGTAGTATAATCAGTGATCATATAATAGGATCAGGAACTGAACCTTGAACTCTGAACTCAATACCTGACTCCTTAAAGGACTATTTCTTTTCTTTTATTATTTTACATCTGAGAGACCTCTATTTGATTTTGAATTTTTATTTACATTCCATGTGAATTGCTGATCATATTGTTGGATTGGTTGAGGCAATAAATACTGTCAACTGTTCAATCCCCAAACTAACTCGTCCTGAGTTATTAAAGGCACCGTACCTCTGACCTAGGTAGAATAGGTCAAAATAAAACTACTCTAAAGGATAGAAAGAACAGATTAATGAATCCTCACCTGAGGATTCCCAGTGTGCAGTGTGGACTCTTCAGTCCCACATTCAGCAGCTTCAGTCCTGAAGCCTGCAGGTTGTTGTTACTCAGGTCCAGCTCTCTCAGACTAGAGGACTGGGAGCTGAGAACTGAGGACAGAGCTTCACAGCTTCTCTCTGAGAGGTTACAGCCACCCAGACTGTAGAGACAATGATCAACATGAAGAAATGATAAGATATTCAAGGGATCATACCTGACAAGCTCTATGTTCTATGGTTGTAAACAGATGACACAGTGGTTAAGAACCAGCCTTTGTCAAGTGCTGGGTTTAAAATCTACTTTGGAAACCAGTAAAGAAATGTGCTTTCTCGTGTCGCCGGTTCTCATGGATCCTGGTGGTTCCTGCTGCCGTGGTCCTGCTTATTATTAGGGACCTCGCAAGCGACCGCTGGAGGTCCCTATTGTTTTTGCTCGATTTCTTACCTATTATTATTATTTTTAGGCCACTTCGACAGCGTTTTTCCCCCCCTGAACATATACGAAAACTCAATTTTATTTGGCAAAGTTGTCAGGCCTGGTGAAAAATTTGATATTCTATGTGTCTTTTTCAGGTCGGCCACTAGGTGGCGCTACTATTTAGGAAAGTATTTTCACTTTTTGGTTACTTAATAACTTTTGCATATTTTGTCGCACATTCAAAAAACTTATATCCACGCGTTCAGTGAATGGAGCTGAATCTTCCTATATAGGCCCCGCCCACTTCCGCCTATAATTTTTTTTCGCTAGAGTGCGAAAAGTCCTTAAAGTACGTTTTCGTGGTCCTCCTACACGCTTTGTCCAATTCCCACGAAATTTTTCACCTAGCACCTGGGGACCGCCCTGGCAAAAAAAGTCATTTGAACCTTTTTGAAATTTCAAAAGATAAGCGTGCTATAAAATTAAGACTTCCTGTAGATTTTTCGTCAAAAAAGGAAGAGGACCATTTCTTAATATTGGTATGTTCGATTGACATCAAACTTAGGTCCATAGTTCCTCATGTCCTCCTTAGGCACCGTGCACAATTTCAGACCATTACCACTAGGTGGCGCTCTTTAAAATGAAGGAGTTTATATCTCTGCAACGGCACGTGTGATTAAAATGAAACTTGGTAGGATGCTTGCCCATGGCTCCCTGAGGCTCACCTTAAAAGGAAAAAAAATCAGGCCACTGGGTGGCGCTCTGGTGGCAGGATAAATCACTGTGCGGAGACCGTAATAGTTATGAATATGAAATTCACAGGGCACGTGTAGAGTAGTGCCTGAAGCTCACATACCAAAAATCGTGTTTGTCGTGTGTGTAGCGCCCCCTACAGGATAAAAAAACAGCAGCCCCGGCGCCACGTTTCACCGATATGTACGAAACTTGGTAGGCATGTTTAACATGCTGAGACGTACAAAAAAGCCTCTTGGACCCATACCCCAAACCCCACAGGAAGTCGGCCATTTTGATTTAAAGTTTCGATTTCGGTGAACTTTTCGCGTTGTATTTGAACGAACTCCTCCTAGGGAATTTATCGGATATGCTTCAAAATTTGTGAGTACACTCAAAAAATGGTGCTGATTAAAGGTTGTGCTATTTGTGCATGTACGTTGAAGCGAGTGTCCGTGGCGTGGCATCAAAGTCAGCCATTTAGATTTTTTGGGTCATTTTCTGTGATTTTTCGTGTTGTATTTGAACGAACTCCTCCTAGGGAATTTATCGGATCTACTTCAAATTTAATCAGCACAATCTAAAGACATTCATGATTAAAAGTTGTGCTAATTACGACATTCCGTCAAACGGCGTGTCCGTGGCTTGGCATCAAAGTCAGCCATTTTGCATTCTGTGCTCATTTTCTGTGATTTTTCGCCTTGTATTTGAACGAACTCCTCCTAGGGAATTTATCGGATCTACTTCAGATTTAATCAGCACAATCTAAAGACATTCATGATTAAAAGTTGTGCTATTTACGACATTCCGTCAAACGGCGTACCCGTGGCGTTGCGTTGAATTTCAACCATTCACCATAAACAGATAGTACTCAACTTCAGTGTACAGTCCCACCCTGAACACGTCCTCATAACTTCAGCGTACATTATCCAATCTCAATGAAACTTCACGTGTTTGATAACAGTCCCACCCTGAACACGTCTACATGACAATATTCAGACATAGTGATAGCGCCACCTTCTGGCAACAGGTGGTAAGCGCTGCATGGCGATTTTGTGCTGCGTTACGTGAAATGACCGTGCCAGTGACGACTTGTCAAATTCAGCGGATTCGCCATGAAATACCACTCATAACTTCAGTGTGCAATGTCCAATCTCCAGTGAACTTCATATATTCTGTAACAGTCTCGCCCTGAACACGTCCTCATAACTTCAGCGTACGTCGTCCAATCTCAATGAAACTTCACGTGTGTTACGACAGTCCCGCCCTGAACTTGTCTACATGACAATATTAAGACATAGTGATAGTGCCACCTTCCGGCAACAGGTGGTAAGCGCTGCGTGGCGATTTTGAGCTGATTTACGTGACATTTTCATGTTGTGGTCCCCAAGTGTTATGACGGCACGCGACGCGGCCGCAGCACGCCCCGAGTTGGGTGGGGTGCGAGGTCCCGCTCAACGCTGCTTGCAGCTTTAATTATTATTATTATTATTATTATTATTATTATTATTAGTAGTAGTAGTAGTAGTAGTAGTATCATCATCACTATTATTCACCATTACACATCGCTGTGGCCATTGACATCGTCATTGTCATCATCATCATCATCATCATCATCATCATCATTAGAAATGTCTACTGGTATAGTTTTTGCTTTATACTTTCAAACAGATTAAAAACATTAGAATCCATAATGATAACTAGATACTACAAAGTACTTTCAGACCTCCACCAAGGAGGCAGCTCACTGAGGAGTGATGGTTAAAGTCTGTAAGAATGCAGTCCTGATTGTGTGATCTGTTATTGTGCATGTGACACCTGTAGTTAAATATGGTTTAATACTACAGCTCACATAATTCTGGGGGAAACTAAACCAACTATTGGTTTTAATACAGAAGTCAGACAATGATTGGTCTTTTTCCATCATTCTGTGAGTAACTGTGATCTGATTTCATGCTGCACACAGTATGAGTCTGTGAACAGCGACAGTGAAAGTAACTTTGGTTACCTGGCTGAGAGGTTGCAGGTGTGCAGCGTGTCACCTGCAGCTCTTCCTCTAACAGTTCACTGTGGCTGCTCCTTCTTGTTCCATTACTCCCTGACATATTTCAAACTCATTCACTGTCAGAAATTATCAAAAATGGCCGATGTCTTGGTTTGTAGATGTATTTTAGATGAGCAATAGTTGGCAGCCAACGTCGAACTCACAGACAAACACGCATTTAATTTAAACTTGTTTTTCTCCAGTTAAATACTTTTAATTTGTAGCTGCTGTGGACGGAAATGTTCGGTTTTTATTAGCAGTGACTTAATGCTGCAGTTTTTCTGAGTACGTCCCCATTGATATTAATTTAACACTGTAAATATATAAATACTGAAATACTGTCATCAGTAGCTATGCTGTGGGTGGGATGGCAAGCTTTGGCGGGTCGGATGTGGCCTGCGGGCCGCCAGTACGCTAGGACAGTAAATTTTTTTGTCAGAGGGGCCAATCAGCCCTTGGGCTGATATTTACCTTCCTTTAACTAAAGATTAACTATACTATGATCTGACCTGAGAGTTTCCAGTGTACAGTGTGGACTCTTCAGTCCCACATTCAGCAGCTTCAGTCCTGAATCCTGCAGGTTGTTGTTACTCAGGTCCAGCTCTCTCAGACTAGAGGACTGGGAGCTGAGAACGAAGGACAGAGCTTCACAACTTCTCTCTGAGAGGTTACAGTCACTCAGTCTGTAGAGACAATGATCAACGATGAAAGAAAAAAAAAACATTTGTGTTATTAATATATTCATAATGAAAAATAATTAGTTGATAGAAAAGATAGCAGAGTATTTAAGTAATGATACAGAAATCCAACTCTATCTGTACTTACAGAGCTTTGTTGGAGGCTTTGACCACTGGCAGCAGCCTCAGGAGAGCCTCCTCTGAAGCAGAGTATTTCTTCAGGTCAAACACGTCCAGATCTTTTTCTGATGACAGTAAGATGAAGACCAGAGCTGACCACTGAGCAGGAGACAGTTTATCTGTGGAGAGACTTCCTGAACTCAGGAACTGTTGGATCTGATCCACTAGAGAACGATCATTCAGTTCATTCAGACAGTGGAACAGATTGATGCTTCTCTCTGCAGAGGGAGTCTCTTCGATCTTCTTCTTAATGAACTGAACTGTTTCCTGATTGGTCTGTGAGATACTTCCTGTCTGTGTCAGCAGACCTTGCAAGAGATTCTGATTGGTCTGCAGTGAAAGGCCCAGGAGGAAGCGGAGGAACAAGTCCATATGTCCATTTGGACTCCGTAAGGCCTTGTCCACAGCACTCTGGTGGAGATCTTTTAGATTCCTTTTGTCTTTAACTAATTTAGACCACCAGGATGTTGTTTGTTGTTCTGCCAGCAGATTGACTCCAGAGTTGATGAATGTCAGATGGACGTGAAGAGCAGCCAGAAACTCCTGAACACTCAGATGGACGAAGCAGAAGACCTTGTCCTGGTACAGTCCTCTCTCCTCTTTAAAGATCTGTGTGAACACTCCTGAGTACACTGAGGCTGCTCTGATATTGATGCCACACTCTGTCAGGTCTGATTCATAGAAGATCAGGTTGCCTTTCTGCAGCTGCTCAAAAGCCAGTTTTCCCAGAGACTTAATCATCTTCCTGCTCTCTGGACTCCAGTGTGGATCTGTCTCAGCTCCTCCATCATACTTGACCTTCTTCAGTTTGGACTGAACAACCAGGAAGTGGATGTACATCTCAGTCAGGGTCTTGGGCAGCTCTCCTCTCTTTCTGGTCTTCAACACATCCTCCAGAACTGTAGCAGTGATCCAGCAGAAGACTGGAATGTGGCACATGATGTGGAGGCTTTGTGATGTCTTGATGTGGGAGATGATTCTGCTGGCCTGCTCCTCATCTGTGAACCTCTTCCTAAAGTAGTCCTCCTTCTGTGGGTCAGTGAAACCTCTGACCTCTGTCACCATGTCAACACACTCAGGAGGGATCTGATTGGCTGCTGCAGGTCGTGTGGTTATCCAGAGGCGAGCAGAGGGAAGCAGTTTCCCCCTGATGAGGTTTGTCAGCAGCACATCCACTGAGGTGGACTCTGTAACATCAGTCAGGATCTCAGTGTTGCGGATGTCCAGAGAAAGTCGACACTCATCCAGACCGTCAAAGATGAACACAACCTGGAACTCTTCAAACCTGCAGATTCCTGCTTCTTTGGTTTCAGTAAAGAAGTGATGAACAAGTTCCACCAAGCTGAACTTTTTCTCTTTCAGCACATTCAGCTCTCTGAAAGTGAATGGAAATGTGAACTGTATGTCCTGGTTGGCTTTGTCTTCAGCCCAGTCCAGAGTGAACTTCTGTGTTAAGACTGTTTTCCCAATGCCAGCCACTCCCTTTGTCATCACTGTTCTGATTGGTTCATCTCTTCCAGGTGAGGGTTTAAAGATGTCTTCTTGTCTGATTGTTGTTTCTGGTCTGTCTGGTTTCCTGGATGCTGTTTCAATCTGTCTGACCTCATGTTCATCATTGACCTCTGCAGTCCCTCCCTCTGTGATGTAGAGCTCTGTGTAGATCTGGTTCAGAAGGGTTGGGTTTCCTGCTTTAGCAATCCCCTCAAACACACACTGGAACTTCTTCTTCAGGTTAGATTTAAGTTCACGCTGACGAACTCCAACAATATGCTCTTAATGAAGACACAGAAAAGAAGATCATTAAATGATTTATTAAAAAATAATATGATATTATAATATATAATATGATCTATAATATATACTGTATAGTTATATTAATAACATGATTCTTTCCACTAAAGCAGTGGTTCCCAAAATTTTACAGCTTGAAAGCCAAAAAAGAAACTTTTTACAGAGTTAAACTTCTGGTGGTACCCAGCTGGTGGCAGCTACCTTGGAAATGCTTTTTGGGAGAACACTTGTTCTAGCTGGCTGTTGCTGCTCAGCTGTGTGAAACGGCTTTTACAAAACACACATCATGAATTTCCATAAGATTTACATTTATAAACTACTGTTAAAGAAGCATATAGCGAGCGCCTGGTTAGCTCAGTAGGTAGAGCTGGTGACCCATGTACAGAGACTCAGTACTTGTTGCAGCAGCCTAGGGTTCGAATCCGATCTACGGCCCTTTGCTGCGTGTCATCCCCTCTCTCTCTCTGCCCCCCTTTCCTGTCTGTCTTCAGCTGTCCTATCAAATAAAGGCAATATAAGCCCCAAAAAATCATTTCTTTACTACAAAAAAAGAAGAAGCGTACAGCACACACTAGTCAGAAGAGCATTTTCTCTTCTTCTGTTTTAAGTATGAAAATGAATTCACATATAAAAGCATTGTTACACGACTTCCGGTCTAGCGGCCGCTAAGATGGCAGCGTGAGAGAGAATCTCCCCCGACCACTAGAATTTAAGTCCCCATTAACTTGACGAACTCGATTTAAAACTGATGGTAAAACATGGATAAGGGCAAGACTTCATTGCGAGATAGGCAAAGCAAAGTAAGACATAGGAAACCTGCACAGAATGCCAAAACACATGAAACCCAGAGTCCGGAGTCCCTCCCAGCTAGCTGTGGCTCACCAGCTAATGATGACGGAGAGGAAGGGGAAGCTTACCTGGAGGCTAGCCTGAAAATAATTCTCGCAGTGATAAAAGATTTCCGACACGATAATAAGCAACAACTCGAGGAAATTAAAGAAGAGATCAGCAAAACCAAAAAGAGACTCGACGAAGTAGAAGAGCGTGTTTCAGACACAGAGGAGAGAATGCAGTCGCTGGAAGAAGTGATGGAGGAGCTAACAAAACTTCAAGCTCACCTGGAAGAAAGACAGGAGGACCAGGAGGGGAGATCTAGACGAAACAACATTAGAATCTACTCCATCCCAGAGGGGTCAGAAAACGAGTCTTCGTCAATGATAGAGTTTGTCGGAAAACTGCTGAAACATGGCTTGTCTTTGTCAGAGGACGCGGACCTTAACATTGAACTTGGACCCGTGCCAAAAGAGCTACAGAACAAAAGAGGAAATCTTATGAACAGCGTGGCAGAAAAGGGGCTTTATGTGGAAAAATAAACAAATCAATCTGGACAATGACTACGCACCGAGTGTGTTGAAGAAAAGGCAACAGTACATAGAGGCTAAGAGGGTCCTGAAGGAGAAAGGGATCCGCTTTCAGACTCCCTTCCTGGCTAGACTTCGAGTTTTCTACGCGGATGGGACACGCACCTACAACACAGCTGAGGAAGCAACGAAGGAGATGGCAGAGAAGGGGCTGCAGGTCACAGTGCTTAAACCACCCGAGACGCTGCTGGAGCAGATACGGAGGCTGTCCTGGTCGGTGAGCGGCAGACGAGGACGAACACAGACGCATGCACGTCGAGGACCAATGATCAGAGACAAGCTCCAGACATTCAGCTGGGGTCCGGCGCAGAGAGGTCAAGATGCGGCTGAATAGAGAATGATCACGCAAGTATGGTTTAGAAGGAGTCCGATTACAGAATTGGACATCTTTGATTTATGCTCGGGCATTGCAGAGCTGTTTCTGAAAAGCAGTGGGAGCTCCTCACTTACGTGTTGTCTAATGAGTGAGTGTAAGACTTGTATAGAAGATGCAAAACCCCTCCACTGCGAGAAAAAAGTGTAAAATAGTAAGCCACACATCCTGATATTTTAGGTTTATGTTTGGAAGAGAGAGGATTGTTCTCCATGTAACAGAGGCTCCTAATTATTATTTCAAAGTGAAGTATAAAGGTGGGTGACGGTAGATTCTGTTAAAAAAAACAACGTAAATTTCATTTAAGTTATCAAAGAGCCTAATTGAGGATGATCATTATGTCGGGGGCACATTTTTGACATTATGGATGAGATTCCTGCTGAATCCATTACAGATGAGGGCCCTCTCATAGAAGAGAGGCTTTCCCTCTCTAAGGCCGCATTTAAACACCTAATACAGGGTTTTTCTTTTAACCCCACCTTTGGAAGCCCTAACGAACATTTTCAGTTTCTCATTGGTTTTTGTTTTGTTTGTGTGTTCACTGCAGTTCAGAGCAGAAATAGAGATGGTACTGATAAATAATACTCTGAAAGTGGTCTCTTTCAATGTGAATGGAATACTCCACCCGATCAAGAGAGGCAAGATATTGTCAAAATTGAGAAAGGAAGGTGCTCAGGTAGCATTCCTTCAGGAAACGCATTTATCTGAAACTGAACATGCAAAATTGAGAAGAGGAGGCTTCAAATATGTATTTCACTCATCCTATAAATCAGGCATCAGACATAGAAGAGGGTCTGCCATCCTTATTTCAAATCAAGTCCAATATGAGCACATTTCAGAGACTAAAGATAAAGAAGGCAGATATGTAATGATAACAGGAAGGATCGATGGGCTGATGGTAACTTTCTTTAGCATATATGCTCCTCCTGGGAGTGATTGGACCTTTTATAAAAAAATATTTGATATGTCTGCTGAAGCTCAGGGTGTGCTTATATGTGGAGGAGATATAAATATAAGATTATCAAAAATGGAATCTTCTATCTCTAATTTAGGACATAGTAAACCTATGAATAATAAGATAAACTCTATAATGAAAGAAATTGGCATAATAGATGTTTGGAGGGAGTTTAATCCAACAGGCCATGACTACACTTATTTTTCTGCACCTCAGTCTACCTATTCGAGGATTGATTACTTCTTTGCATTTAAGAGAGAACGATTTAGAATTCAATCATGCGATATTGGAACAATTGATATGTCTGACCAAGCATCAATTATAATGACAGTTAATATTGGTAATAACCCAAAATCTACACTATGGAAATTGAACTCAAGCTTATTGAATAACCCCAGGTGAAAGGAGAGTTGGAAAAGGAAATAGATACCTATTTCAAAGAAAACAACAATGGAGAAGTGTCTCCTCCTATGGTGTGGGATGCATTCAAGGCAGTCCTGAGGGGGAAATAATCTCTATTTCCTCATCACTAAAAAAACGTAGACAGGAGAGGCTGAATTCTCTATACACTAAACTCAGAGATTTACAAAAAGATCACAAGGCTAGACCAGGGACCAAGGAAGTATCAATTAAAAAACTGCAAAATGAGATTGATGAGATATTCTCAGAAGAGGTTAAAAAGAAACTGGTATTTTTGAAACAGGGGCACTATGAGGCAGGGAGCAAGGCAATGAAACTGTTATCATATAAACTGAGGAAACAACAGGCAGACGCCACTGTTAATAAGATAAGATGCCCTCAAACTAAGAAAATACAGCATAGACTAGACCTAATTCAACAAAGTTTTGAAATTTATTATTAGGAACTATACTCACAACCAAAAGTAGATAACGAAGAAGAGATGAAGAGTTTCCTTGAATCTCTGAATCTTCCCACAATCACACAAGAACAAAATAAAGCCCTGTCTGCGGATATTACTGAAATAGAGGTCAAGGCAGCAATATCAAGACTCAAACCACATAAGAGTCCAGGTTCAGACGGCTTCACAGCCGAATGGTATAAGTCTTTCAAGGAACAGCTGATTCCAAAACTGTGCCAGATATGTAATGGAGCACTCAAAAAGGGAGAGATTCCCCCCTCATGGAAGCAAGCCATGATCTCAGTAATACCAAAGGAAGGCAAAGATTCATTAGATTGTAAACAATTTCGACCCATCTCAGTGTTAAATTTAGATTATAAAATGTATATGTCAATATTGGCTAGGAGAATTGAAAAACTCTTGCCATCTCTTATTCATTTGGACCAGACGGGTTTTATTCATGAGAGACAGACCCAAGACAGCTTAAGGAGGACGCTACATATTATGTGGTATATCCAACAAAACAGGACACAAGCTATGTTAATGGGATTGGATGCTGAGAAGGCATTTGACTCAGTAAGGTGGACTTTTTTGTATAAGGTATTAGATAAATTTGGTTTTCATCATACTCTTATTGAGGCTTTCAAAGCGGTATATAGTAAGCCAACAGCAAGAATTAAAATAAATGGCAGTCTCTCAAATTCTTTTATTTTGGAACGTTCTTGTAGGCAGGGTTGCCCCTGTTCTCCACTTCTCTTTGCCCTCTTTATAGAACCTCTCAGTCAATATATTAGGCAAAACGGGCAAATCAAGGGCATAAATATTGCAGGACAGGAACACATAATATCTCTGTTTGCAGATGACATGTTCATTTTTTTATCACAACCATCCACATCTCTACCAGCTTTAATGTCATCATTGGATAGGTTTGGTCAATTATCAGGCTATAAGATAAATATCCAGAAAACTCAGGCTATGTCTTTTCATTTCAACCCACCAGATGATTTGGTAACTAAATACAGCCTGAGCTGTAACAAGAAATCAATGAAGTATCTGGGAATTAATCTTACCCAAGATATTACAAAATTATTTAAAGCCAACTATATCCCCCTCAACCTTAAAATCAAATCTGACATCTCCAGATGGAATCACTTACCTTTTCTGAGTTTAACATCAAGGATTGAATTGGTCAAAATGGTGATTTTACCCCGCCTGTTGTATCTCTTCCTATCGCTGCCAATTGAAATAAGTGATCAACAGTTCATTGAATGGCAGAAATTAATTTCTCGATATATCTGGATGGGTAAAAAACCAAGGATAAAATTCAAAGTAATGCAATTATCAAAATACAAAGGGGGAATGGCATTGCCAAATTTAAAAGATTACTACCATGCGGCTCAGATAAGATCCCTGGTGTATCTCTGTGACCCGCAGTTCAGGGCCAGATGGAAGGATATAGAAGAGGGAGGATCTATGGGCCCACCTGTGCAGGCAGCAATGGCAGACAAAAAACTAGTAGACAGTCTTTCAAATAAAAATAACCCCTGGTTAAAAACAACACTAAGAATCTGGTACAAAGTAGTTAGGAAATACAATTTAAAGGGTGCAGGAAAAATATTACGTTGGTGTGCATATGACATGGATTTTATTCCAAATAGGACAGATAGTAGATTTAAAATATGGATGGAAAGGGGCCTTACGGCTTACTGCTGCTTCACACACAATGGGTATCTTAAAAGATTTTTTAAGATACCTTCAAGTAAGGCATCGATTAAATACAATTTTGACAGAGGACTTGGGTAGTGATATCCTGAAGGTTTTTGTTTCAACTTACAAATCCGGGAGTGGAAAGAGACTAATATCTAGATTATATAAAAGTTTTCTAAACTCCTCAAATTCGAACACCCTGCATGTTAAATGTAGATGGGAAAGGGATAAATACCTAATGAAGATATTGTTAATTGGCGCGAAGAAAGCTGTAACAAGAAAGTGGCTACAACCCAACGCACCGACACTGGAAGAATGGCAAGGAACTGTTCATGAAATCTGCAACATGGAGAGACTGACGTTCGACTACAATCAGAGAAATTTAAGAGATGGTGGTCAAAATGGATTAGATATATAAGATTACGGAGACCTGAACTGCTTTAAGTACCTTTATCACATGGCCTGACGTACCAGATTATTGAATATTGGGATAACTGAAAATTGCTGTCGGTAGATCTGGATGGGAAATGAGGAAGTGTGACATCCGTTGTTCAATTGTTCGTTTTACACATTGTAAAAAAGAAGAAAAAGGAGAGTAATAGATGAGAGATTATATGATAGTGCAATTATGTAAGTGCTTGATTCTGTTTTGCGTTGTGTGTGTGTATAATTGTACTGACTTTACCTTGTATGTTTCTCCTTGATAAAAATAAAATAAAAAAATAAAAAAGCATTGTTACACATTTTAATTGGGGACCTAATAAAATGGGTCCATGACCAGGCATAGACCGATTATTGGATCCGATATTCAGCATTTTTCTATTTGTACCATACATTTTTTTAAACCGATTGCTGATAAATACACACATTAGTGAGAGTAGAGTAAAATGTAAAATGATTCTGAAAAGATATTTTTTGCAACATTTGATTAAACATGTTTAAATTACTCAGATATTTTACTTAAGTTAAAGTAGCAACATCACAATACTTAAAGAGACTAAGATTATAATTATCAATGTGTTCTATCTATAATAATTATTCATAATTTATAAGTTGATTTATATTTTATATTGATAATGTGAATCTGCAAAGTAACTAAAGTAATAAATAAATGCTCTTAGTTTCACTGGTTGTTCAAAATATTTTTTCCTGCAATTGTTCGGTTCCAAATATTGATTATCGGTTTCCTTCATTACTAATAATCGGTATCTGTAACAGCCCTGAAAGAAACATATCAGTCGATCCCTATCAGTGACCCATTCTGGGTCCCAACCCAAAGTTTGGGAAACACTGCTTTAAAGAATGAGTATGTGAATATATTTTGGTCCTTCTGTTGAGACATCAGTAAATGTCTCATTTATCCAGCGAGTTAAATCTTTAGAGAAATCCTCTTACTGCTCTGCAGACAGTCAGCCAGCTCCTCCTGCTTCATTCTCCTCAGGAAGTGCAGTGTGATCTTCAGAAATGCCTCTCTGCTGCTCCTCCTCTGCTCTTCATCTGTACCATCCAACCTCTCCTCATCCTCCCTCTTACTCTCCAAGCATTCTGGGTAATCTGAACTCAGAACCTTCTGGATCTTCTTCAGCTCGTTCTTCACAAAAGTGACAATGTTGTCCTCCAGCAGCTGGAACAGAATATTATATGAATGACTCAATCAAAGTCAAATCATGAAAGCAAACATCAGATCCATGTTGGACAGACTGACAATCCACTGGTCTAAAAAGTGCAGCATGGAGATTATTGTGAACACAATAGATGTAAAAGTAGTTGTTGTCCATGTACAGACCATAAATATGGAGTCCAGGTGTGTTTGATGCTGCTGGGCAGACTGACCACTGGGAACCTCTGAGCTCTCCTGGTCCACTCTGTGGAGGAATCATGAAGAATGAGCTCACATTATGTCTGTCCACACAGAGACAAACACAAGGTAAAGGTCCATGAAAAGGTTTAAAAACTGGTCTGGAGTCTGATAAAAACATCATCATTTCTTTTCCATCATCAGTTTGAAATCCTCACCTTTGATCAACAGAGTGGCGGCCATCTTTTAAGTCTATAAAACGATCATTAGAGCGATCACTCTTCATGGACACACAGCTGGGTTCAGGTTGTTTCCTCCTGATAGAAAAACAGGATCAGTTCTGCACTGCACCCACAACACACTGAGACAGAACCAGTGACTGAATACACCGACTGTACACAGTGTATTTGTACCCAGGGAGTTCTTGGTTAGGATTTCTATAAAGTCAGTGTTTGATTTAGACATGTTTCACTGTGTATTTTAAAGCTGTATCAGTGCAGTGTGCAGTATAGGCGGGGAAATGATGGAGTGCAGTGACCATATCGGTCCAATTAGGATAAAAAGAGGAACAGACGTGGTGTCAAAGCAGTGAGTTTCTATAAACTGCTGCAACTATTTGTTCACTGTGAAACTGAGGCTGTTGTAAACTGACACAAACCATCACCGTCCATTAAAAGACATTTTAAAACATTTAAAAATAGAGATTTCACAACTGAGAGTCTGATAAAAACACATCATTTTATTTTCATCATCAGTTTGAAATCCTCACCTTTGATCAACAGAGTGGCGGCCATCTTTGAAGTTTACAGGACGACCCATAGAGTCATCACTCTTCATGGACACACAGCTGGGTCCAGGTTCAGGACAGTCTGGTCTCTGATGGATCCTGATAGAAAGAAATTCATTAAAGCTCATATATTCAGAAACATTGTCACTGAATCAAAGACTTTGTGAAATGATGTATAATTTGAAATGTTTGAATACAGGGCTGGACAATAAGAACAATGTCTTCAATTACTGACATTATGGACGTGTTACTGAACACAATTTACTGATGTCACACACTTCAACACACTGTCTGAATTCCATATAATTAAAGTGAGAGCAGCTACAACATCTAACCAGCGAGCAATCAGCTCCCAGTCCAGTCCAGAAGAGCAGAATGTGGAACTGGTCAGACTGGAATGAATCAGGACAAACATCAGCAGTGAGCAACATGAGGAAGGAAATCTGCTCTGATTGATTCAAACACATGTTACTGTTACATTTCTCATTATGAAGCTGAATGTTTCTCCTGATACTGATTTGAGATCAGATTGTCCAGCCCTGTTTGAATACTGACAACTACGTACTTTAGCTCAGATAAATGTCTTTGTTTCAAATGGAGAATCAAAGCCTTTGTGACATGGAGAAGAGTCATGGACAGTTAGAGATCCTCATCTCACCTCTGAGCTTTGGTCCTTGTGTCATGTTCCCCACACAGAGTGCTTTTAGAGGGAGGGACTCCCTCCTCTCTGTCCTCACACTGATTCATAGCAGAGCCCACACCTTCACACAGACACAGCAACCTGCTGGGAGAGATCACACATTATTCCCCATCATTCCTCTCAGTCACATGACAAACACACACAGCTCTGATTGGAGGAAACGGCTCATTCAGCTCAATACTAAATCCACTCATCTGACAGTTTCCATGGCAGAGTAGAAATGTTGTTGGCACTTTGAGCTGCAGTATCTAAGAAATGACATTCACAATGCTCTTTAGTCTGTGGGGTTGGTTGAAGACTAGAGGAATATACTTCATGTTGCTGTTTCACTTCTATTTGACTGACTTTGAAAAGCTCCTCAACAGTTGAAATGTTGCTCTTTTTCCAAGTCTACTATATCCAGTCAGAGCATGCAGTGGCAGCTCGTCCAATAATCCAAAATCAATCCTGTTACCTTGGCAGCTGCTGCTGAATTCACATCCACATCAGCTCCCAGAGACTTTCTACCTTCATCTGTAGAGGAAACACTGAGAGCAGAGCTGAAAGCATCAGTCCAATCACTGATCAGCACTGAGAACTCATCATCACTCATTCATCCTTTACATCAGTGGTTCCCAACCTTTTTCTATCACTGAGTAAACTGACGACCCCTGACTGAGGGACATATTTTATACATATTTCATATTATATCCAAATCTGTACAATCAACCCAAATATTGAACTCAGTAACTGCAAGAAGTTGAAGTTGATTCTGATGAATTCTGGAAGTTTTTATACAGTTTGTCTGTGTTATGTATCTTTTATCATTGTTTTTATCATAAATACTTAATATGCTTATCTCTTCCCTGATGTTTGGTCATTGATCTATTAGACAGTTTACTTTACATTGACTTTTCTTCACAGAAGTGAACCAGATGCTGAGATATAGGCCGACCAACAGACCCCCCATGAAGCTATGGTGACCACTAGTGGGGGTCCCGACCCTCAGGTTGGGAACCACTGATTTACATCATTTCTCCTGTAAAACTATCAGCTGCTTCTCCACTGATTGGCTGCTTCTCTCTGTTTCCTCTCAGTGTCAGTTGAATCCCTTTGGCTTGTTGGACTGTTGCTCAGACTAAAGAAGCAGTTAGAAAACATGACTGTGAACTCTGGGAACTACTGATGGCCTTTTCTCATCACTGTCACACATTGCAAACTAATCAATCCATGGATCAATAGTGGTTTGTTATTGGCCAGAGGAGATGCTGCTTGTTCTCATTGGTCAGTGTTGAGGAAGAATGAGAGCAGAAAGCTGCCATCAGCTGCTCTACTTCTACTATCAGTCCACTAGATGGCCTCATGGAGCTGCATTTATCTGACAGCTTTACTTCCTGCTTACTTTTCAAACATGGGATCAGTTTATAAAATAGAATTCATTATTTTACATTCAAGCAGCCAAAAGTATTTGAAGTAGTTCATATTGGCTCCACCTGCAGCAACTCCAACATTAAAGTAGTGATTACATGTTAATGCATCAATAATAATCATCCACTAATATAATAATACAACACTGACAGAGGCCATTCTGTACACTGACTACTTTCACTTTACATACTTCAACTACATTGATAAGGTGAGCTCATAAAGACAGACAGAAATCATACAGTGAGTACTCTGAGTACTGTCAGTGAGTACTCTGATTACTTTGAACAGTGACACACTGACAGTAAGATGGAGGAAACTCTTCCTCCATGTTGGTTCTCAGTTGACTGTTAGTAGAGTTTTCTGCTCTTTCTACTGAACTAAACTAACAAGATGAACAAAGAGTCATTGAGGAGTCAAACAGTGAAAAGTGTCTCTTACTAACCTTCACATGGACAAAAGAAGAAGCTGCGACACGACGAGCTCACAAAGTGAAAGTTACCTGTGGACAGGGAGTGGCAGTGACATCACGGTTGTCAGGGCAACGGAAGGTGTGGGGGATGGGAGTGAGATAAGACTGAGTGAGTGTCTACAGAGAGAGACTGGGAGCTTCAACTACATTGTGCTGATAATACTTCTGTAAGTGAGGAACTGTTTTAATGCAGCACTTTAAGTTGTAATGGAGTATTTCTGTAGTGTAGTATTACTACTTTTACTATTCTCAGCTTTGAACTGTTGGTCAGACAACATTGTGTCACTGTGGGCTCTGGATGATTGTAACGGGCATTTCATATATTTTAGATTAATGACAATAATAATTAGTCACAGTCCTTCCTCAATAGTTGAAATCAGCTCCACCTGAGCAGCTACAACAGCCAAATACAGCAGTAATAATAATCTAATGATAGAATATAATATAGTGTAACAGCTGTAGTTCCTTACTCCCCCCAGGGTGTCCTGACTCAATCCTCTGTTCCTCTAATCCAAGTCTACAGGAGGACGGACTGGTCCCTGAGGCCTCTGGTTACTGGTTGAGGGTCAGTCCCCATACTGGGGTCAGAGGCCCGACCCTCCACCACAGGGAGCTTTAAACCTGCCGTGTCGTGGGGTCAATCTCTGTGTTCAACCCCAGAGGAGAAGGCCTCCAGCTTGGTTTGGACTCACGTGTTGATCCCACTCTCTATGATCTCTTCTAACCTCTGACACTCTCCAGTTTAAAGGATATCACACATACAGAAAGGCAGTTCTCATCATATATGACCTCTGTACAATGAACATATACAGATATCAAACATTTCTGATGCCCACCAACATACAGCAGACAGAGGCCCTGGAGAGGACTACTTAACTCACCTGGAGGATGCTGTATTCCTCGTACACCAAAAGGAAAATGGAATAAAATGACGACAAACAAAAGTGTTTATGAGAAATGAGTCTGTCTCTTTTCAGAGGCACAAACCTTGGACAGACCCCGGCTCTAGGTGGGTGGAAGAATTGATCTTCTTCTATAACTGAGAAACATTGGCTCGAATCAAATGTGGCTGCTTGTTTTTCAAATCTCTTTTTTTTAAATCTCAATAAGAGGGAAAGTGTTTTTATGACTCAAATATATGAAGAAATATTCAACTTTGAGTCTTAACTGACCTTTGTTGGTAAAAACTTTACTTTTCTTTGGTCATCGTGGAACAAATGTACAAACTTTGATGAGGTTTTATGCTCATGGTTGTATTTTATGGACACAGAGTCTTATAGATCAGTACTCACATGCAGTCTCATGTTCTTTAAAGTTCTCATGTTCTCATTATCATTGTTCCCTTTCTTATCAACATGTTTGCTTTTACTGATTATTCCTCTGCTGAAGCTAATGGCTTCCAGATTATTCACTTTATTTTATTGTTGGCACAAACACATATTCATAAATCTTCCAATCACAAACCTTCATTTTTAGTCTTTGACTAAACATAAAAACACGTTTGTACTCTAAGAACAAGAAAGCTTGTAAAACCTTCAATGTATCTCCTTTATTCCATTGTTCTTTAATATTCTGTTATGGTCAGTACCATACTCCAGTAGTGTCAGTGTTTCTAGTGTCTTCCTCTGTTTGTGTGTTGTGGCTGTGGGACTCGTCTCACTCTCACTGGTTGCCTGAGGACTTGACTACCTGCTCACCTGTCTGACTGCTCAAACCTGCCAGCCTTCAACTCATCAGTGCTGCAATATATCAACCCTGGTTCTTCATGCGCCCCCTCCAGATCCTTGTTTCAGCCTGTTTGGTAGATACTCTCTCAGCCGTCAGGTGAAATGTATGATGTGTGTTTTCCTCGTGTTGGCGTTCTTAACCTTGTTTTTTCTGTGCCTGAGGATCATCACCTGCTCTTCAGCCAGCCTGCTCCTTCTGCACACTGCCTCCACCCTCCGCTCCACTCTGCCTAGATCTCAGCCATTATCCACTCACCACTGCCAACCGGAGCTTCACCTCACCATCTCATCAGCCACCAACTAGTTTTACAATAAAGCCCTATTTTGGTCGTCATACTCAGTTTGTGTTCTGCCTGTGGGTTCCTGTGTTTAACACAACATGTTCTTGTCCTCATGTCACTGTGATGTCTCCACGGTGTATGATTTCTGTCTCTAAATCAGAATCAGAAGTTTTTACACATACGAGGAATTTGCCTTGGTGCATCGGTGCATAAGAATCCCAAACATATAAATAAAGACCGAGAGATCTAAAGCTGTACAAGAATGACATTTACAATGTGCAAGGTAGGAAAAAACAGTAATGTAATGCATATATACAGGGTGGGTTTAGGAGTCAGTGTCAGTGGGGGGGTCCGGGCCTTGTTAATGAGGACAGCTGCAACAGCAACAACAAAGTGGAGTGATGAAGAAGAAACACTCACAGGTCAGTCTCTGTGGTCTTCATGACTGTATTTATTAAAGTTGTGGGGCAGGAAACAGCAGTTTCTATACATATTATACATTATATAAGGTGACGTCCTCAAACCCAAAGATATTCAGATCTTCATTCTGATGGTATTTCTTCAAACAATGAAGCTATTATTCAAATAAGAAGTGATTGATTGATTAGTTTACACAGAAGTGATTCATGAAGATCCAATAAAACAACCTTTTACCTTTTGAACCAGCTGGATCTGCTGCACGGGCTCCGTCAGCTCCAAACAGGACTGCAGGGTCTGAGCGAGCTGCCTGACTCCATCCTCTCCTCCACCCACAGAGAGGGACGCTGGGAAACATCACACACAGCTATTAATCACTTAGGAAGCGTAATGCGTTTGCTCGTCAGCAGTTGGGCCACGTTACCTATCAGCTGGTGCAGTTTGTCCTCATCCAGAACCACGGCCTCCACTCTGGCCGTCTTCTTCTTCACCACCATGACTCCGCCCTGAGTGAGTGAGGAGCACCAGCGCTTGCATTCAGTTCATCAGTGTAAAGCAACATTTCCACATTGTAAATGGCGTTGACTTTAAATACGTCAACCTCTATAAACCCTCACTCTCTCTCAGACAATGGATCACATTACAGCCACACAGGGTTGTGTTTGGGCAACAATCTGCTGATAGGAAATGTATTAAAAAGTCTCATTTTAGGAAAACGGACACACCACCATATGGATCAAATCTGAGTTTCAAAAGGTTTTTATGGAAGCAGAACAATGAATGTGTGTCTGTGTTTATCCTATAACATCCAACATCAGAGCCAGTTTGTCTCCCCAGCTGGAGGTTTAAACCCAACAATCAATACAGCCGATTAGAGAATGGATGCAAGATCACAATATGACATTTCAACAAAAAGCTTTGCTGTTAGAAATAGAAAGGATTAGAAACACTTCCAACAATTACTATATTAAAGAGCTTTTTTGAAATGAATGCTTTTAAAAATAGAACTTGTGTCTGTACAGAGCTGCTAGAAAGTTTTCAGATTATTTCTTTATTCAATAGGAAATCACTTTATCAATGAAATGAAATGAGAGATCTTTAGGGAACAAACTGGCTTGGAGAGAAAGTTCCCTAAAATAGGAGCAAAAGTCCAAATTCATCAACATTTGTGCTTTTCCACAAACTTCCTGCAGTTCTTGTGTTCCCTATTTAAAGTCCATCAGCTGTTCTCTAACTGTTACTGTGTATGCATTTAATATCAGATGAAATCTCCAGAAACTCACTCAGTCAATCAGTTGACTCACTGACAGAAAAGGAGCTTGCTGATGTTAGCTGCTAACTATTAGCTCGTTAGCTGCCTGTCGCTGACTCTACGTCCGTCATTCAAATGCGACACAGACACAGAAAACCCCGAAGCAATAAAACAATAAAACAACTCTCCCAAAAAGAGCCGAGCGCTTCACTTAAAGAGGAAAGTTCAATAGAAGAATCATTCACCTCAGTTCAGCATGTGCTTCACTCTCAGCTCCTCAGCTGCAGCTGGAACCGGATGTCAAGCTGGAGCACACAGCCTTCACTGCCGGGACTTTCACAATAAAACCAGGTTCAACACACAACAAAATAAAAGCACAGAGATTCAACACATAATAATATAAAATCAGATACATTCAACAAATAAAATAAAATCAGATTCAACAAATAAAATAAAATCAGATTCAACAAATAAAATAAAATCAGAGAGATTCAACAAATAAAATAAAATCAGAGAGATTCAACAAATAATAATATAAAATCAGAGAGATTCAACAAATAACAAAATAAAATCAGAGAGATTCAACAAATAAAATAAAATCAGAGAGATTCAACAAATAAAATAAAATCAGAGAGATTCAACAAATAAAATAAAATCAGAGAGATTCAACAAATAATAATATAAAATCAGAGAGATTCAACAAATAAAATAAAATCAGAGAGATTCAACAAATAAAATAAAATCAGAGAGATTCAACAAATGAAATAAAATCAGAGATTCAACAAATAAAATAAAATCAGAGAGATTCAACAAATAATAATATAAAATCAGAGAGATTCAACAAATAAAATAAAATCAGAGAGATTCAACAAATGAAATAAAATCAGAGATTCAACAAATAAAATAAAATCAGAGAGATTCAACAAATAACAAAATAAAATCAGAGAGATTCAACAAATAAAATAAAATCAGAGAGATTCAACAAATAAAATAAAATCAGAGAGATTCAACAAATAACAAAATAAAATCAGAGAGATTCAACAAATAAAATAAAATCAGATTCAACAAATAAAATAAAATCAGATTCAACAAATAAAATAAAATCAGAGAGATTCAACAAATAAAATAAAATCAGAGAGATTCAACAAATAAAATAAAATCAGAGAGATTCAACAAATAAAATAAAATCAGAGAGATTCAACAAATAAAATAAAATCAGAGAGATTCAACAAATAATAAAATAAAATCAGAGAGATTCAACAAACAAAATAAAATCAGATTCAACAAATAATAAAATCTGAGAGATTCAACAAATAAAATAAAATCAGATTCAACAAATGAAATAAAATGAGAGAGATTCAACAAATAAAATAAAATCAGAGAGATTCAACAAATAATAAAATAAAATCAGAGAGATTCAACAAATAAAATAAAATCAGAGAGATTCAACAAATAAAATAAAATCAGATTCAACAAATAAAATAAAATCAGAGAGATTCAACAAATAATAATATAAAATCAGATTCAACAAATAAAATAAAATCAGAGAGATTCAACAAATAAAATAAAATCAGAGAGATTCAACAAATAAAATAAAACCAGAGAGATTCAACAAATAAAATAAAACCAGAGAGATTCAACACATAATAATATAAAATCAGATTCAACACACAATAATATAAAATCAGATTCAACAAATACAATAAAATCAGAGAGATTCAACAAATAATAATATAAAATCAGATTCAACAAATAAAATAAAATCAGAGAGATTCAACACATAAAATAAAATCAGAGAGATTCCACAAATAAAATAAAATCAGAGAGATTCAACAAATAAAATACAATCAGAGAGATTCAACAAATAAAATCAAATCAGATTCAACAAATAAAATAAAATCAGAGAGATTCAACAAATAAAATACAATCAGATAGATTAAACACACAACAAAATAAAAGCAGAGAGATTAAACAAATGAAATAAAATCAGATTCAACAAATAAAATAAAATCAGAGAGATTCAACAAATAAAATAAAATCAGATAGATTAAACACACAACAAAATAAAAGCAGAGAGATTAAACAAATGAAATAAAATCAGAGAGATTCAACAAATGAAATAAAATCAGATTCAACAAATAAAATAAAATCAGATTCAACAAATAAAATAAAATCAGATTCAACAAATAAAATAAAATCAGGGAGATTCAACAAATAAAATAAAATCAGAGAGATTCAACAAATAAAATAAA